CACATCTCCTGCTGTGAAATTCTATAGTCTTCACCAAATCAAGTCAGCAACTTCTGGCCACAAGAAGCCTCTTCGTCATCAACAAACCATCCTTCGTAAGGCTATCATGCTGTGGATCAAGATATCCTTGACATGTTCACAAGTTGAGTTAATTTTATACAAAAATTTTCTGACTATAAGTCCGGTTTCCTTTTCCTTAGATCACTTACTTTCAAAAAATTTAAATTCTTTCTTTGCGTCTTTGAGATATAAATCTTTTCCCAGCCTTGCTAACCCAAGAATCTTATCTTTCTTAAAGGACCTTGGAGTCCTATCTTTGAAACATATATAGAATGTAGTTTGTGTTAACAATGTCATAGAGAAGGATAGGATCCTATCTGCCAGTCTCTTTTGATTTCTGCCAATTACCAAACTCAGGTGACCTAATTACTTCAGCAATGAGATCCTTCAGTACTTTTTTTTATGAGCTCACTCCAATGTTTAAATCTCTGCTTTTTTTTTTTTTCCAGAATTAAGTTCAGTCTTTCTGCCTTGTTGAAATAGTCTCCCTTCCATACTGCAATACTTGCGAGTAGATGCTTCCTTACCTGTTTAAAATTCCGAATTCAGTGGAATTTTTCTTTAACTCAGACAAGTTAAGGATATAACAATACACAGGTGAAAGAGTGCTGTAGATTTTTGCTGTTCTTACAGACTGTTCTGCCAGCTTTCCATGAATAAATTTCACTCAGTTTGTTGTTCATCCCTGGTTGATTTCCAAAGTGCTGAATGTTTATTTTTGACAATCTGTCCAGTGTTATATATATTTGATGGGAGGAGAAGTTACTGACCTTTTCATTTTTCTATAGCTACCTTACAACATTTTCACAAGTCTGAATTTCAACGTTATTGCTAGAAACAGTTTATTGGTTATCTACATCTACGGATATTACTCAGAGAAATATTTTTCTGAGCACAAATCATTTATTAAAGAGTTAAAAAGATGCTTTTCCATAGCATCACTGATACTTCATTGTATTTACATAAAAGCAAATCCTCTTATGTTTATACAGTTTCTGTTTTATTTTAGTTGATAAAACATTTCTTTCAGTATAGGTTAAAACCTTATTTCTTTCTTTAATTCTACATTATTTTTTCCTCCTCTTAATGTGTTGACCAATTTTTTTTAATAACTAGCTAGCTCTATTCCCTGATTATTTCTTGTTTGTAAAAGTATTTATATTTCCAAAAAGAGATACTCAAGCAAGTTGGGAAATTTTTATTTTTAATTTCCCCCCATCTGGTTGGGTGTGCTGATTGGCCAAATGCCACAAGTAGAAAAGTGATATATAGATAATCTCATTTATACAGATCTTTTGTCTCCATATGCATAAAATCCATTTCCAACCGTGCTTCTCATTTGACACTTGTGAAGGCAGATTATACAAATGGCATACTAGTTCATAAACCACTCCAAATTTCCTTCGCCAATCTTGAGTGTTAGCCACTTAAACTCAGTGATTTTATTTACATTCCAACATTTAACTTTCCTGAGTAATTACACTGTCTAATTTAATAATTCATACTTGTCTGCTTTAAAATTTTGACCTACTTTTCCAAAACTATTTTTGTTCACTTTTTCAGTATCTTTCTCAACATACATATTTTTCTATATTTGGAGTTTGGATAGATATATAACAGGAATACATTCATATTGTATGTTTCAAATTGGAGACACCTGGGCTGGAGGATGAAATTGAGACACAAAGAATTTAAGAAGTGTATTAAAATTTATTAGTAATAAATAGTTTTACATAATATTTATCTACCACTTGCTGTGTATCAAATACAGTAAGGTCTTAAATTTAATGAGTTACTGTTTAACACTATAAAGCAGATATTATTATTATTGCTATTTTATGAGCAAAAGAGTTTTAGAAATTCTCAAGATTGCATGTAATAAAAACTAACTAACTGGCAATGTTCTGTCATATTTAGCCTGTCAGGTGCTTTTCCAAGATCTTCATACACTTAACAAATTAATGTAACACACTCAGAATTGTCATATAAAATCCAATAAGCATTATAATCTTACTTCACAATACGGCTGAGAAAAAGTATTCGGATGTTAAACTAGTTGTTCTCTTTCATATTGCTGATAAATGATCAGGGATTAGAGCCCCACATCCTATTTCTGTAAAAAGAGTGGGAGCTTGTTTTAAAATTCTGTTAAATTGGCACCTTACTACTGCATCTCACTGCCTCGCAGTTAAACAGCACATTTGTTTCTGGTGAATTACTGAAGTTTGAGATTATAGGAAACTTTAAAAGTGACCATTTTAGGAAAAGTCTATTTTGCATTTATTGGAAAATCCACTCCAAAATAGCAATAAGTTTTATTTTTTCTGCAGGTTTGTTTGAAAAATCCTGTAGTAGATAAATCAAGTAGATACATTTTGTGCTTTGAGGTGCTATTATTAGAAAGTATTTTATAACATTATGGATTCTTATAGATACAAGTAAATCCTTTGAACCGGAATTTGTCTTCTGAAGTCATAAGATGCAAATGTAATTTCTTTTCCCCATTATAGTGGTTTAAATACATAAAACAGTCTCTAAGGAATTTTCTCTAGTTTTTAGTTTCTTTAGTTATCCGGGTATAATATAACTTCAAGCTCCCGTTCTACCCTACAGTCTCTGTTTGTTACAAGTCAATTTATAAAACTCTCATAAAACACAAAGCTCAATACATAACATTTCAAGTATGTTCTGAACATTGCCAAATAGACTAGACTGACGTTTGCCATTCTTTCCTGGAAATAGAACAGTGTAATTACTGAAAAGGTGTCTGCTGAAATCAACTTCTGGTTTTGGTTTTTGCTCTCACTTTTTATAACCACGTTACTTCGTACCAATTTCCTCAGCTCTCTATGCTTCAGTTTTCTTCTTGGTCAACAGAAATAATAATTATGTCTAATTTGTCAAGTTGATAGGAAGACTATGCATGGGGATCAAGAATTTAAACATTTTGAAAACTGCTCCTTACATAAGGGGAGACATCAGAAACTGTACCTGATGTTATTTAAAAATTGAGGCATTCTATTGAAGGTTTACTGGGTACTGACATTGATGTTGTAAAGAGGGAAAAGTATAGTATACAGGCCCAACACACTTTCACTTAAAATTATAGACTATATTTCTCGTGAATTGATCCATGAATGCATATAGTTGTAGACAATCATTAATCATGTCACATTCTGGACCCATAGTTAGATAATAAGGAAAATCCTTAAGGCATCTTTTCTATCTTAGTCTATACTAATTTATATAGTATAGAAAAATACTATATAGTTGTATTTTCTGAAACCTTGACTGTGTTCTCCAGGTGCTGGTTTCCTATCCAAGCTCCGTGTCATATGTGCAGATGAGAAGCCTTCTATGAGTGTATTACCCAGGTCACTAATGAAATGTGAAGAAGAAGAGAATCACAGATAGAGCCTACAGCAATGAAACACATTAGAGGACTCCCACTCTTTGAAGAGTCGTTTACACAGTTAGAAATCAACTGAGTTCTCACACTGAGAATATTTCTTAATTTTGCTAACACCGAACTATGGGAGACTTTTTTCAGGAGGATTATTTAAATCCATGTCCGTTATCAATTTATGTAGTAGTACCTGCTTGGTAATCCCCAATTGTATTTTTTTAATGGAAGAAGAAATAATCTTAGTTGAATGCAGTTGTTCTTGGAAACTTGTACTGATTCTTAATAATTATTGTCTTCTTCAGTAAGGACTCTCAAAAATCATTTGAAGAATCACTTATATATACTACACATCAATAGCAATATGTCTTTGGTAGCTTCAGATATATTTCTATTTCTTTTTGAAAGTTGAGACTTCATTTCTCTGTCTCCAATACTGTGTCTACCATTACCTGCCTAGACAGATAATGATGGCTTCGAAATCTCATTTACGAATTCTCTGAGTCTTGGGGTTTAATTTTTAGCATCTCAACCCTTGCTGTCTCTCTATGTAGTTATATTTCAATTACTCTGGTGTCATCGTTTCCTAGCCCTCTGCAGTTGAAAATCCCTCTCGACAAAAAATGGGAAAAAAAGCCCAAAAACCAGTTGTCATTGCACCACTGACTTTCAATTATTTCTTTGATATATTTACCAAAAATAAATGTGACTTGGTAGTTTTTTAATATCCTTTGCACTTCTCTAACCTTTATGCTTTTGGACTTTAGTCTTCCAGGCCCTTCTAGGTTTCTGAAATTTGTATGGCTCCCCAAGTAACTATTCTTTACAGGAGTGCATGTTGAGTACCCAGGCAGAGGTGTACATGAGAGAAGAGCAAATGCCTAGCATTCATGAAACCCCAGGTCTGATCCCTATCCATCATAAAACGAACCAACAAATGAAAACCCCACCCAAACACAGATGCGGGAGCGTGCACACACACACAAACACACACACACACAAACACACACACACACACGCTCGAATATACTAGTTTACTATAAATTTTGTTTATTGCATTTGTTTCTCCACTTTTTTCCACTTAAGAGCAGTTTTCTTTTACATGCTGAGATTCTAATTTTGGAGTATCATCTGGCCCTTCTGAGATTTCTCTTCAATTAGTCTTGAATTCTGGGAAGAATTATCAGTATTTATTCCTATATTTTCTTGAAATCAGACTCCTGAAAATTCATGTCAGTATCTAATTTTTCCCCTAATATTTTTCTCCTGTAATATTTGTATTATTTTATAAAACTAAGGTAAACAATATTAGGCCAAGAAGATATGTTATACTTTATGCTTATGTTGGGCCGAAGTGTTAGAATTTTCATGTTTCATAATCATGCATGGATTTTTTCCATGTATTTATTATGTCACCATGATACTTCATCAACTCAAAAGGTTTGTTAAAAATACACTCAAATATGGGTAGAGGGCTCTATCTTCTGAAGGTGATCACTCCTTTAATCACTAACTTAAAAATTTATTCACATCCTAGGACAAATACTTCCCTTGTCTGTGCCATCCTTGTGATATGGACGTGGAGCATGCTGCAGTTTCCACTTGACCTGGCAGGTAAATGGCTTAATATTTGTGCAAAGATCCAGGCATGGTGGTGCACACCTATGATCCCGGCACTCAAGCGGCTGAGGCTGGAGGATAACAACAGCTTTGAGGTCAACTTGGGCTACACAGTGAGTTCAAGGCCAGTCTGTACTACATAATGAGATCCTATCTCCAAATCAAATTTTAAAGACCCCACTATTATCTCATTGAGGCAACTGTGTCCTACAGCTCTATCTTCAATATTTGTGCAAAGAAACAGAAAATTATAACTCTTGATTACAAACCACTAAAAAGAGAGTGATTGATGGGATTATCCTTCTGATATCCCTATGTTAGTTCCAGTTCAGTTTAGAAGGAAAGTAGACTGGTTCATTCCAGTGTAGTGAGCTCAAGATAATTGATTGGAAAATATAGATTTGTATTCACTTCGAACACTGGTTCTGCCACTTACGATCTGTGAAACTTTCTGAGAATTAGTTAACATATCTGTACCTCAGGTTTTCATCCATGAAATGGGATGGTGTTCCCAATAGCTGGGATTGACAGTGCTTATAATGATTCCGTCAGCTTTAGTTTGAAGAAGGCTTGCTAAAGTGTCTCATTCCATTGCCTTGTCATCCCTTTCCTTTCCTCCCCCTGACTCCCTTCTATGGTCCCAGGGATTGAATCTTGTGTTTTCACACTGAGGACATCCAGCCTTTTAAATTATTCTTTTCAGAAAGTTTTACTAAGTAGCTAAATTGTCCAGGCTGAGCTTGAACTTGTAACCCTTCTGCCTTAGCCTCCTAAGTAGCTAAAATTACAAGTGTACCAACACATCTGGTTTTTGTTGATATTTATAAGGGATCATTTTCATTTCTTTATCAAGCATGTATTAAGCTAATAAGAACAGTTCCAGGGCCTCATATGGAATACTAACATTTTCCTCAGAAGTGGCCTTTGGATATCATTTGTTTTTACTTCAACAAAGATATAAATCTTGAAGACTTTTCAAGAAGTGGCCGGGTATGGTGGTAATCTATAATCTATAATTTCAGCACTCGAGAGACGGAGGCAGGAGAATTGCTGTGAATTCAAGGCCGGCCTGGGCAACAGAGTGAAACCCTGTCTCAACAGACTTTCCAAAAAGTAAACTATTTCCTAGGAATTTCATACTAGTGATGCAATGGCAGGCAGACACATGGAAACAACATCCAGGATTTAGAGGCAGATTTATTTATGTTGATGGGCACTGATCAGGCTCATTCCCAGAATATCAGGCCTTGATGTCTGGTGATCTAGGGCTTAGACTGCATGAGCAAACAGGAAGTACAGAGGCAAAGTGGCCTGCCAATTGGGGACTGGCTTATACAATGTGCATCACAGTGACCAGCTGCAGATCAGAGAGAACAGCATTTCCAAGACACAGAAGCAATAGAACTGGAGCAGGGACCATTACCTGGGCAACTAACAAACTAAAGTCTGCTGGCTGGTGGCGGGGTGGATTTCTGTGACAGTGATGCCTCACAGCCACGTTGTTCAGTAGAGTACCCACTAGCCTCACACAGCTTTTCAAATTAAAGTTAAAGTTAAGTAAAACTAAAGGCTCAAATCCTCAGATGGCTACCATATTTGACAGGAAAGATATATCACATTTTTACTACCATAGAAAGTTCATCTGGACATTGTTAGCCTAGAGCAGTGGTTGCAATGCTATGCCACACATGCTAGAGTGGGCTGTTTATATCATTGAAAGTTTCAGAAAATTCACAAGTTCACTCTCACCTAGAGAGATACTGTAAGTTTGTGATACCCTGGAATTTTGATCTGGGAGTTTTCTTGCGTGTCACATTATTTTGATGAAATTCTAGAATTTAATTATATATAAACTATATATGAATCTGGCTCACTTTTTGAATCTCTCTACCTACTGGCCTCAGAATTAGCATTAATCCTTGAGACAGAGATGTTGAACATTTTTTGTATCTATTCTGGGTTAACTTTGATAAGTTAAGTTTGAAACATTTTAGATCATAGCATCCACATTCTGAAACACCCAAAATGGTCAACAGGAGAAACAGAAAAATTGCTGTGATTTTTTCAAAATATTGAAAACCTAATTACTGATTAGGAACAAATGTAAGCTGGTAATATATCATTAGTTAGTACATCATACTTATTAGTCACCTGGTAGAATAATAGCTGGTTAGTTGGCCTACTGATAAAATGATGGATACCATCCCTTTACATATCGCTTTTAATATCTTTGGGGAGCCCTTTGTGAGCTATTTCATGACCCTGACTTCTTAGGAAAGGCAGTTAGTAATCCTAAAATGTTTTTCTCCTGTCATTCACCCTGCTGATTCTCACCCTCTGCTATCTTGTGGTTTACTGCTTTGCAGAAAAATTTATTTAAGAAAGAAATTTTGTAAACTTTGAGAGGTGATAATGTTATGCAGCTGTTTGAAAAACAAAGACCAAATGTTACTTGTGACTAAATCAGTATTGTATTTTCCAACAAACAGTACATTGTGTGTGCCCATATCAAAGCAGCTTCGTAATACTTGCAGACTGTAGTAAGAAGAAGGCATTCTTTGTTTAAAAACTCCAAATGGAAGGCTTCATTATTACGAAGGAATAATTTTTTGTCCCTGACCCTGAATTAATTTTACATTTTAGAAATTTTAAAAAACTTTATCTGTTGATTGCAACTTCTTTTTGTTCATCTGTAAAATCAATAATTATAATGTCTTTCTTGCAAATTGTGAAACAAAAGCATAAGAAATCAGGGCAAAGCAAATAACAATGCCATTTATTTGGGGTTCGTCTATTAGCAAAAGAAGTTGATTGAATTTAAATTTGAATCTAAGCACTTGAATTTTCACAGCATAATTTGCACATCTGACTTAGTGAGTGAACCACTAAACATGCTGATCCTAAAGAAAATACCTGGAGTGAGCTGGGCCATACCGTGTAGCTCCATCTCCACACTTCGCAGTCTAGCAAGTCACTCACTACCCCACGGGAAGATAGAGAAGAAAGTGGAGAGAAGGGTGAAGTGCTATTCTCATGGAAGCAAAAGGAGTCAAGGGAACAGACTCTCTTCTCCCATCTATTTTTATCCCAGTCTTCACAAGAAAAAGCTGAGTCCTAGGTTAAGAGAGGTTAAGTCATGGTGCCAGCACCTACCTCCTTGTTAGATTTAAGGCATCTGGGCTTCCTGACTCAAGTCCTTGAGCCCACTTTGGTGCTGTCTCCCCACACTGCAGACTCTAAACTGCAGCACGCATCTCCTTTTATTCTTTCTATTTAGCTGTGCCTTTTTCAGAGTGAGAGCAATCTGAAAAGTCTTATGTGTTTGGGAAGTAGGTAGCAAGACGTTTTACCCAGAACCAAACTGCAGAATCATTTCCCACCATTCATGACAGGGCACCCAGAGCTATCAACTTGTCCAAGCTCACCTGTCTAACACGTCCACATTCCGAGGGCAAAGCTAACTGGTCCGTCTTGTGCTTCCAGTGCAGCAGGTTGTGTGCCCCTCCTCTGTGACAGCCAGGGGATTCCCCAGCCTGTTCTTCTGCCAGTACAGTTCTGACTTGTGGAACATCGGGATCAGTGTCTTCATCCAAGACGGCCCCTTCCTCACCTTGCGCCTCATCCTGATGGCTCATTTCAATGTGATCAATCAGATGCTGGTGTTCTTTGCCGTCAAGAATCTCCTGGTGCTGCTGCTACACCTTTACCGTTTGGTAGTTTTGGCATCAGCTTTCCGTGCTTCCCTACGAAGGCAGTCAGAAGGCCTCAAAGCAGAACAGAGCTGCTCCTGTGGACCACCTGCGAGTGGACTGGGGATCTGCGAGGGGAGCTCCAGGGAGGGCCTGGCTATTCCACTGCAAGTCTCACCAGCCACCTCTGACGCCTCCCCTCCCACACCATAGTCATTTATTCCCAGCAGGATGCGTTAGAAAGATGGACGTTGCCAGCTCTTCTTACAGACTTCTGCCTCTTTTTATTTTCTTTCCATCTTAGCACATAATAATTTTTAAAGAAATATCCTGCAAAGGTGATCTTAAACTAAAGTCAAGAAATTTTCTTCTTTCAATGAAATGGAAGGAACTTTGATTAGTGGTGAAGGCCACAACTTCTTCGTGATGGTATAAGATGTTACAGTTGTTCAACGACTAAGTGATTTGTTGGTGCTGAACTGTTTGAAGAGCTATGCACAAGGTTGCCGTGACATGTCCTTGAAAGATTCAGTGCAAACTGTGACGGCTGTTACCTGAAAATACAGACACTTTGAACCTTGGCTCCCAAATCTGACTGTCTCCTCTGATCTGTTCTGCCATATCCCTCCGACATCAAAAAGTATACATTCATTGAATGCAGAACAAATGAAGGACCAGTGCCTGTACAATTACCTCACTGGGGGCTGGCGGCAGTGAACACGTCTGCTCAGCTTCCAGATCAGAGACCCACATTTACCGCTGCACAAGCTTCCCAGGAAAACTGTTTTGCTGGGCTGATGTGGTGCTACACCACGGTACACATTCTTTTATAGAAGTGTTATTGTATTTGGCTTGGGTACTACAGCACTCACAGGAAGTCATTCGGTTACCTATCTGCTGGTGGCAAGTCAGGAAACACCAGCAAAATGCTGGCACAGTCATAGTTTCCACTTGGAATATAACTTGCAGTGGTGTCAACCCCACATCACCATTTTCTCCATTACTAAGTCGGATCACCGGAGGTGATTCAGGGATGCTTGGAGCATGAATGAAGGTGTTCTGGGCCTTCAGGGTGACCAGGCTTTCTAGTGTCTGCCAGCAGCAGCAAACACAGGTGCAACAGCTCCAGGCTGGCACCCCTGGAGCTGGCCCTTGGTTCGGGCCAGGAAGATGGATGGACGACTGTGGCCACCTGAGCCACGGCCCACGATGAGGGACAGAGGGCGTTGGAACTGCCTCCACGTCATTAGATTCAGACAATTCACTTCATCTCTCTGTGTTAAGACTTCGTTTTTCCACAATTTAAATAGCCATTTGGTCCTCTTTACGCACCTCTGTACTTTCCAGAGGGAGGTGATTCTGAAACTTTTAAAGTGATTTTTGTTTTTGATGATAAAGTGGAAAAATTTACTTGGTTGTGTAGCAGTAATTACATATGAAGCAAAGAATTCCAAAACGGTAAGGGTTCCAAGTATCATTCCTCCTATGTTAGTATGCTCAGGAATTCAAAGGGGCATTTTCAGACATGAGCACCCCTAATTGGTTGTGACCTGTGTCACAATTTTATCTATAAATCTCTCTGTGACGTAGTATCCAAACATTTGATAAAAAAAGTTTCACAAATACCTTCTGCTTTTACAGAGAGTAATGCATGTTTTTTAATAAATCATTTTTTCTTCCTATGCTTCTAATTTTAACAATATAAGGGTTATAAAATTACACATAAAATGAGTGGAATACATTTATAATTATACATAATAATTCTATGCAAGTTGTGATGAGGAAATTATATTTATATAAAATAAAGAACTTGACAACTTTTAAGGGCATGTTATTTCAAGTGCTTAGCAATGGAAAGCAAAATAATAACTGCTATTTATAAAAATGCCTGCAGAATCTGTTTTTATGTTGACTGTTTTATGTTGACTCCTTTCTTCCACAACATGTATGTGCTGCTTATTATTGCAAATTTGCTTGTGGCACACTCTTCATGTTTTAATTTTTTTCTTCCAGCAAAACAAACACTGAGCCTCTATTTTTAGTATAAAGTAGTAAGGCTGTTGCAAGGATATTTTAAGTGCTTTTAAATCTGAGACTTGGCTTGGAATTGTGAATGAGTTTCTAGTGTTTAAATAAAGTATTTTGTAATTAGCACTCTTCCAAAGGCCTGGGAAAGAAAAGGCCTGTTCCAAATCTGGCTTTATTTAGAGTGCCAGGAAGTCAAAGAGCACCTAGGACCATCTTGGAAATTAATGATGATAAAAAATAGACGTATATTCTGCAAAGTTTTCAAGGAAACTTGCCAAGGGCAACATTTTTTAATCGAATTGCTTGTACTTCCATTCTCTTAGACTGGCTGTCTTTATAGTTTTTTTTTTTAAATCTGTTTTTGCTTAGTTTATTTGAAAAGAACCCTAAGTACAGTTTGTGTGCCTGATAAAAACTTATAAACATATTCAGTTAATTGTATGTTTCTGCTTGAACAGCTAAACCTTGTTATGTTTTAAAATATCTAAGCATTTACTCTAAAGTGGTTACAGTATCAGTTATCTCTTGTATAATGGCATCCTGGGACTTGCATTTTATTTGGAATAAGCTAACTGATTCATATCATGTGTATAATGTGACACAGGCCAACCCCTCTACCCGCGCCCCACCCAGCGCCAGCCTTCAGACACAACACAGGTCAGTTCCCCACACTGAAAAGAGAGCTTTCTTTGTAGTTGCTGGATCTGTTTTGATTGCCATCATTGTTATCTTATTTAATCAAATGTCATCCCTACAAACACAACATTCTACAGTATTTTGAAGAAAACAGTGTAAATGTTTTAATGATACTGTGTAGAAATACAACTTGAGCCTATCTTGTATGTTTCACTCCCTTATTGGACTAGGCTCAGATGACATGCCAAAGTGTAACAATGAGGAAACTGTTCTTATCTTTGATTCTTCTGTTAATTTTTAGTTAAACTGTGATAAGAAAGTAAAAACTTGAATTGATAAGTAATATTCTTTCTAATCTTTCAGTGAAGAGTCTCAGACAAGTTTATCCATTAGCATGGTTATAGCTTCATTGCTCCTTAATAGCTACATAGATTCAGGCAAGAAATGCCAAGATTTGGTATTGTAATATAAATCATTAGCCAATTAATTAATAAAAAAATTTTTCAAAAGAGTAGAATGCTCATGGTTTGCAGCTTCCACCAGGTTTCAGAGTTAAGCATTGACTCTTTTTCATCTTTGGCATTGAATAGAAATGACTCAATATCAGTTATTCTATTAACAAAGAAAAAAAGTGGCAAAAAACAGGCCTCTGTCTCCCTTCACTCCAAAAAAAGCTAATTAAAGTATGTTACACAGCCTCAGAGATACAAAAGAAAAAGCAAACAATCTTGAATTTCAGAGAAAAAGAAAAATCATTGCTTTTTATAATTTCATATTTTGCTTTTTTAAATTAGGGTATATTTTGGTCTGCTTTTGGAAATATCTAATAAAGTTAAACTAGGCAGCTAGAGGATGTTTACAGCTTCAAGACTTCAAATAACTTTCTGTGAGGGGAATAACCAAATAATATTTGAATAATTAATTGCTGCAGCCTTATATTTTATAGGTGCTTATTTTCTGACTATTTCTTACTGGAACACTGTGTAAGGTTTTTTAAAATATTTGTATTTTGATATGATTGACCTATGTATTGTATTATATACATTAAATAGTGAGTGAAAATTTTTATCTCAGTGTCTACTATATTTTGCCTATATTTCATGTCTTTGTTCTCTGCTATAATTCATTTCCTTTATGGTTTTCAAAATGTAACTTGAAAAACAAACTGATCTACTTAGAATATGATTAAAGTTGCATTTCAAGACAATGAAAAGAGGATGACCAATTTTATAAATGATGTTGGGAAATTTTGCAATACATCTGGAAAAAATAAAGTTAGATTATTATCTCATACAATATATAGAAATAAATTCCAGATGGATTAAAGACCTCAGTGTAAAATGAAAACTATAAATATCAGAAGAAAATATGGAATGTGTCTTTACCATTTGGGGGTTGGGAAAGATCTTCTGAAGCAAGATATGAGACCCAGAAGCTAAAGAACAGATTGACATATTTTCCTGCATCATCATTTAACATTTCTGAATAGCAAAAGGTATCATAAATATATCACCACTGTTTTTTTGTGAAAAAAATCAGTGAAATCATATAAAAGAACCAAGAAATTGAAAGAAGTCATATGAGATTAGATATTTTAGAAAGCCTAAGTAACTATTAACAGTTAACCAGAAATAACACAAAAGCAATAACTTTTCTATATGCCAATATAACAGAATACATATATGGAGAAACGATTCCCTATGTTATAAACTAAAATTATAAAATACATAGGAATGAACTTAAATGTATAAGATCTATGTGAAGAAAATTTTAAAATAATTTTGAGAATCATGCATGAATAATTTAAAAAATACAAAGATACATTCTTTGCTTAGTGGTAAGATGTCGATATTTTAAGAATTAATAATTTCTCCTAAATTGATCTATAAGTGTAACACAATCTCCGTAAGGCTCATAACAAGTTATTAATTTTTAGTCACTAGATAACCTGATTCTAAAAATTTCACGCTAAAATAAACATGAAAGAAAGCTGAAAAATATTAAAAGAAAGAAGAAAATGCTTCTTGTTATCTTATTTAATCAAATGTCATCCCTACAAACACAACATTCTACAGTATTTTGAAGAAAACAGTGTAAATGTTTTAATGATACTGTGTAGAAATACAACTTGTGCTTTCAATATATTTAACTGTATTATACTGCTAAATTAACCAAGATATTTTAGTTCTGGCACATGAACAGGCAGGAAGATGAACATAATAAAATTAATAAATAGACTGAACTACTAAGAGATTTTGATATATCATAAATCATAGGGCTGGGATAAATATTATAAATGGTTTAGATTTTGGAAAATATTAAATTGCATTTCCACCTCAATCCTTATGTCCAAAACATTTCCAGATGGATCAAATAATTAAACAATAAATAAAAGCCAAACATAGCAAACACTGATTTTGTAACTGCAACAGTGAAAATGCTTTTGAACAAGTTACAAAACAAGAAAGCAAAGAAGACTCATAAATTTAGCTCATTGAATATTTTAGCACCATAAAATATTATATACAAATTCAAAAGGTGAACAATAAATTGAGTAAATGTGACAATAAAAACAAACTGGATAGGTATGTTTGTAACAACTCTAAACAATCTTAGTTTTTTAGTGAATGAACAGTTATTCTGAGTAAGGAAAAAAGGTGAAAAGCTACGGGAAAAATGTGCAAAAGGCATAAGTATATGATTCACTGCAAAAGGAATAAAAATGCAAATCAAGGGGCTGGGGATTTAGCTCAGCGGCATAAGTGCCTGTCTTGCAAGCAGGCAGTCGTGAGTTCAATCCCTGGTACCGATAAAAAGGAAAAAGACAAAAAAAAAAAAAAAAAAAAGGCAAATCAAACAGCAATGAAATACCATTTTTCAAATGCAGACTAAACGACAACATAACCACATTTTATTTATTAGATATTCAAAGATCCAAAAGCCTTTTTGGAATGCTGTAGTAGAGGTGAGTTGAGGAAAGTAGCTATTCCTATTCATAGACATTGAGGGCAAAGAGGGTGTAATTCCTTCTTAAGACAATTTGGCAATATGGGCTGCAGACAAATTATATTTATTATTTGGCCTAATAAGTCAGCTTTTAAGATTGAATTCTACAAATTCACATCCACAAAAATTTTGTATAAAGTTACTCAGTATTTTCTACAATATCAACATAGTATTATCAGTCAGGTCATGATTAAATAATGGAATCTCTCTCCTGTGTAAAACCATTTAGATTATACAAAGGATCAAGTACAACTATAAATGTTGATAGGGGACAATGATTTGGATATTTTCTTAGATAAAAGGAGGGATGAAAAGAAAGTCATCATGTTGTTCTTTTTGTAAATGTCCTTTACACCTTTACAAGTGGCTACTGTTCAAACATATAAAATGATACTCAAGTTTCAAATGACCACAGACATTCCTGCCTTTTTGAAACTTTTACATTTTGCATAATTTGGGTCTTAAAAATTACCCATTACTTTTGTAATTAATAAAGCAGTTACAAATAACAAAAAGTCTCACCAACTTACAAACTTTACATGAACTTGTTGCTATGGACACGGGCCTTGAAATAATTTTCAAGTAAAGTAAAAATATCATTTTTATAGAAGAAAATAAAGATTTTGCCATTATAACTAAAGATAAACTGCTGAAGCTTGAGATAAATGAAGGCAGACTGTCACAGTTTAACTGCATTGTGAAGCATCAGATACTTGGGGAATGAAATCATGAATAGGTCTGTAAGAGTAAAGAAAAATCAAACAAATGCATCTGGTCTTTCTTGATGAGTACCATGTAGATTGCTTTAAACATGTCAATCTGATGCTTTTTTATTGGCTGATACTTATGGCGTCACCAAACCCAACTGATTTTCCTGAGAGAGAGAGAGACAGAACTAAATGGGGCAGTGACAGAAAATAAAACCAGAAAAAATCTGTGTGTCCATTTCCAAATCCGTATTTTTAGTCCATTTAATTTGTGTATATAAATGTTTTGGATTTAGTCAAATGATTACTACAAAATCTACAGTTGATTAGAGTAAGTAATCAAATGAGTCATATGCAAATCTAACCAAATTGCGGAGGAAAACAAAAATTCCTAGACCAACAATATGTCAAATATCATACAATCTTCATACCCAAACTAAGAATTTTGGCCTAGGAACATCAAATGTATACAATGAAATATGTTCTGTCCATGGATGCTGGTCCTCAGCTTCTCCTAAATGCATAGCTGGAGAATTCAGATGGTTGTGGTTTTGAGATCTTGGGGTTATTCCTACTTCCTGGGAAAAAATATTTTCTATTGTTTGAGGTTCCCATATGACTTGAACAATAGCTAACAGTTGGGCTCAAAAGCTATAATTATTCTATCAGTTGTCGTGGTTTCAATTAATCCCTATAACTACTAGTTGTTACTGGTATCTCCAAAACCAATCTTTTATTGGACTTTAGGCATGGATTTGCATCTCCACCTGTATATTTTGTAAGTAGCATAGACACAATATATACATATATTCTGTATTCAATATATACATATATTCTGTATACATATATTCTGTTATAATGGCAAAATCATATACATAATATATGTATACATATATTATGTAGAAGATATTTTGTCTCCAGTTACTTAGACACCAGATGCATCCTGACCCTGGCCTCCTATTTCTTGTATTTCCAAATCAATTTCTACAGTCTTCAATACGCTGGTTATACCTCTTTTATACCTTTATTCTACCAACTCTATTCCAAATGACACTTTCTTAATTTAGTGTCGCAATCTTTCCTAATTCAGGGATTATAATCATCTTCCAATTGGTCTTCCAACTTCCTGGCTTAATTCATCATAATGACTTTCTAAACTGTATTGAGAGCATACTTTTTCAAAACTCATATTGGATCATGAATTTCTTCTATTTCATATGCTTTGATTGATGATAACAATTGCAATAAGATCCAACTAAATTTCCAAGAAATCCATTTAGCACGTTTCATGTGTCGACCTTAATGTAATGCTTCAACTTTGTTCCCCATCACTGCCTCCTACAAACACAAATACACAGAGCAGCCATCATTGGAAACTACTCATTTTTCCTTAATCCTTCCATTATGCAGTGTAGCTGGAAACACTACCCAGCAATACTCATTCTTGCCACTGTCCTATTATTGATTCTTTGTCTACTCACCCATCTCCTCTTGTAGGAGGCCCAATATTTCCTTTTAGAGTTGATGACTGAAGGAGAAAAAACAATTCCAGCAGCCAGAATTGTTCTGCATCCCCCAGAAACTCCAAGAGAGTGAACACAGTCATCTTTCAGTTCTGAGAGCAAATATATCCACAGAGTTCTAGCTTCTAGGATTTCCTTTGAAGCAGCAATGATGATGAGGACATCGAGGAAGACAGAGTGGATAGAGAGCTGTGGGATTTAATACTTATCATGGACCCCAACTGGAATCTGCAGGAGAAGCAACAGGTCAGTCAACCCTGGAAGTTCCTTTTTCTTCTCAAGCTTGAGTAAACTATGAACTTCCTCTAGTATATTACAGCTTCTATTTATATTGCTATGGTGATGTCTTCTGCTCCTTACAAAGATTCCTTTTCTTACTATCTTAATTCTTACCATCTTTTCTTGTGGGAAAAAACTACAAAAACTCAAATTTCATCTCCTCCTGCTCCCTAAAAAGTGAGTCATTTTTATTCTATATTTATAGCCTTCTGTACTTACACGAGGGCTCATCATAATCTAATATATTTGGAGAGTGAGAGAGAGAAAGAGATTTTATGTATGTGCCATCAGACTGACTTGTCTGAAGATATAGGCCATGTATGATATTCAATTATAAAGACAATTCTTTTTGAGAATAATGTTTACCTAGTCTTATGAGTGGACACAGAAAAAAAACCTAATCCCCAAGAACTGTAGATTTCCCATATATCATCCTTCCGAGGCTTAGCATTTTCATGGTGGCCTCCTTATTCACACTGTGATGTGGGTACCATACGTACTGGTTCTTATGTTTTCTTATTAGCAACCCCTTCTCTACCCCTGAATCTGTC